AGAGAGAGTTCCTTGCTTGCTTGAGAAATGGCTTGATTCTTTGCAATGTGATGAACAAGGTTAAGCCAGGCTCAGTTCCTAAGGTACATTGCCTTTCTAGTGTGTGCAAATCGTCCTTTATAGTCATTTCAGATTTTCACTTGTGCTTGTTCTTGTTTTAGATTGTTGATAATCACTTGCCTTCACAATCAATCATCTGGGATTCTCAGCCATTGCCAGCATTTCAGTATTTCGAGAACATTCGTAACTTTTTGGTAGCTGTGGAAGAGTTGAAATTACCAGCTTTTGAGGCATCTGTTTTCAATAGGGTAAATTTCATAGCATTGTATGTTGATCTTCGAATTCTATTAAATCCTGATTTACAAAGAGTGATAGTTAATCATTTCGGGGATTTTGGTCCTATGCCTTCTTAGGATAATATAGAGGCAGGGTCATCAACAAAAGTCGTTGATTGCATTTTGGCACTCAAAGCATATAACGAATGGAGGCAATTAACCGGAGGCAATGGAATTTATAAGCCTCCGAGGTCTCCACTTGCTATAAGTTCGGTTGGGAGGATCAATGCACGGGCTCCAGTTGTAGTCAATTCTGATAGCCGGAGGCGTTTAGACATGTCAGTTGGCTCTCAGAAAGAATTAACAGCAGAAGTTGATGCCAAGAATCTTGAAGGTCTCTTTGTGCTTATCTTCTTTGTATATTCCCCTATCAATCTAAATGAAAGGTAAAAAAGAATGAAACTTTCTTGCACCTATAGGTTTAATTGTCAAGTGTCTGGCAGAACGAATGGTCGACATGAAAGAAAACGTCAATGATGACATTTTCACTTCATTTAATAGAGGCAGTGTGGTATGTCTATTGTCTAATACTCTAATCCTTTTCATAAACTTTCTTGGATCTAACCGATATATATGGTGAGATATGAACAATTTTTCTTTGAACAGAATCCAATCGACTTATTCAGCAAGATATTGTCTTGTTGTGTTGAGGAAAAACTCCAGAACAAAGCTCCGCAAGTAAGCTGGTTGATTATTTATATATTTTCAATGACAAATGGATTCATCTTTAGGCTTTTTAGTAAAGATACTTAACAGTTGGAATCTCAACTGTTGCAAGACAAACTAACGTAACTCCTGTTCTTCTAGAAGCAGTTGAATCCGGATTTGTCAAACTGCTGTGATGAGACACGAAACCCACAGGCACCCTCAACGTATACCCCCCTTCAGGAGTTAACTATCCCCGGGAATCAAAAGGTATGTTTTTATCTTTCGTACACATTAAATGTACTTACATTTGGAATATTTGCATGATTTTGGGATTTTTTTTTTTGGGGGTTTTACAGGTTTGTAGAGCTTGTTTAGGAAAAGGCAAATGCACCCATTGGAATCAAATTACAGTGCATGAAAAAGAGCTTTTGGTAAGCATTTCTCTTTAATTTCATATTTAATTTTGGACATTATATTAGGTTTGTCTAATATTGTAAGATGGCAGAACCTTAAGGTGTTATTATCAAGTGCAAAGAGAGAGCTCAAAGACCTGCAATGTCAGTTACAAAGCGATCTTAAACTACTTGGTACGGTTTGGAAACTATTGCAACTTTTTGTTCTGGACACGAGAAATATGAAATATCATCGATACCCATCATAACGTGACTTGATTTTACGTGATTTTTAGCTGATCAGGTCCTCGAGATCTCTACATCTGCTCTTGGATATAAGAAGTTGGTGAAAGAAAATAGGAATTTATATAACATGGTTCAAGATCTTAAGGGTATGTCAATAACCAGTTTCATCTTATCCACTGCTTCATATTATTTGACTATTTCCGGGCACTTCTTCCATATGTTCAGATTATTAACTGGAAACAAGCTCAAATTTCTTTGCTTTCAGAAAATATCTGCAAAAGAGCTTTTCTTTAAGAAGTTCTAAAATCTTTTTTTCGTATTATTAGGGAGTATTCGAGTTTACTGCAGAATCAGGCCTTCCTTCCTTGCTGATGCAAAAACTGCGATAGATTTTATTGGAGAAGATGGTTCTCTTGTGGTAGTTGATCCGTTCAAGCCATATAAAGATGGAAGGAAAAGCTTTCAGTTTAATCGAGTATTTGGACCAACCGCTACTCAAGGTTACCAAAACTACATTTCAATGCTTTGTTAATGCAGTCTAGTTCATCTTTCATTAAATTAATCGTTTTTTTTTTCCTCTTGCAGAAGAGGTTTTTGTAGACATTAAGCCTCTTATTAGATCTGTGATGGATGGTTATAACGTATGCATTTTTGCTTACGGTCAAACTGGATCTGGAAAGACATATACAATGGTAAGGTTCAGAAATTTGGTCTTTTACTGTACAGTTTTGCTCGTGTTCTTAGCTTTTGTATTGATATTTTGCTCTGTTGACAGTCTGGGCCTTCGGTTCGATCAATGAAGGAACTGGGAATCAACCAGTTAGCCCTCAACGATCTCTTCCACCTCTCGTATCAAAGGAAGGGAATCATGAATTACAACATTTCTGTGCAAATGGTTGAGATATATAACGAGCAAATCCGTGATCTTCTTGCAGAAGATTTGTCAACTACGAAATATCCTTTTTCACATTCGCAAAGTTTTCAATTTGTTTCCATAGATGCATTCATAGAAGAAATGCATTGATGATTTTTTTGAATCCTTCACTCTGACTTTACATTAGAGATTCGTAGCTGCGTGAGTGACACTGGATTGGTTCTTCCCGATGCTACTCTCCTCCCCGTGACATCCAGCGAGGATGTTCTTAGCCTGATGCAGTTGGGAGAGGTGAACCGGGCTGTTGGCTGTACTGCCATGAACACCCGAAGCAGTCGCTCTCACAGGTTTTTTTTTTTTTCTCACTGCAATTGAGCTTAGCGAAGTAACTGAGTAGTAGTACTAAAGACCTGACATGTTTGATTCGATGAAAATGCCTCGATTTTGTAGTGTGCTGATTGTGCATGTGCATGGCGAAGATACGTCTGGAAACAAGCTTCGGAGTTGCCTCAATTTGGTGGATCTGGCTGGGAGCGAGCGAGTTGATAAATCAGAAGTTACTGGGGACGGGCTCAAGGAAGCACAATACATCAACAAATCGCTTTCTTGCTTGGGAGATGTTATCACGGCTTTGGCACTGAAGAACTCTCACATCCCTTACAGAAACAGCAAGCTCACTTTGCTTCTGCAAAACTCGTTAGGTAAGAAAGCTTGCAACTTTTGCTCGGTTTAGCCACTCGTGAGGAGGAATCACGAGATGAGTGTTTTTGATGTGGTTGTTCAGGAGGACAGGCGAAAATGCTAATGTTTGCTCATGTGAGCCCCGAAGAGGAGTCTTTCGGGGAAAGTTTGAGTACTCTGAAGTTTGCTCAGAGGGCGTCGAGTGTTGAGCTTGGCGCAGCTCGTTCGAATAAAGAGAGCAGCGAGGTTATCGAGCTGAAAGCTCAGGTAAACTTGAGATGATCCACTCGAGGTTCAACTTTCAACTTTTTTGTGGTTATGGTAAATAGATGAATTGAAGTTGAAGCAATGTTGAAAAACTCGCTAGGTGCCCTCTAGGCGCCTGTTACCGCCTAGAGCGCCTAGGCGCCGATTAATCGGCGTTTAGGCGCGATTTTTGCAACACTGAGTTGAAGCAATGTGTGTTGTAGGTTGAGAGCTTGAAGAAGGCATTGGCCAACAGAGGAGCGGTCGCTTCTCAAGCTATGAAACCACCGAAAGAAGCCAGGACACCACCACCGCCTTTACAGAAGGCTCGAGCAGGCAACGAGAGGACTACTCCACAAACCAGGAGGTTGAGCACTGAAAACGTAGAAAAGACCACGCCTTTGGTGGTGAGCACACGCCCCAGATCACGAAGGCTAAGCCTAGAAGGGCCACGAGGCGTTGGTGCTCCTCCTCGAAGTCCTATAGGAGGAGGATCTTCTCCTTCTGCTGTCAAAAACCACGTTACACCTCCTCGAAGTCCTATACGATCTGCTGCCAAAAACCAACTTACTCCCCCTCGCACCTCGCCTGTTTCTGTTTCTGCTTTCAATATCCAACTGCCTCCTCGAAGCCCGACCAGTTCAGCTTCCAATATCCTTTTCGCTCATCCTCGTAGTCCAACATCTGCTGCATTGAAGAACCGAGGAGCAAAAGCAGCTACCCAACTTCCCAAAACACCTGAACCAGCAGTGGGTTCGTCTAGAAATGAAGCCTCCTCCCGGGGGATCTTAACCGAGTGCACTGTTTCTTCATCGCTTCAAACGCCTGCCCTGACAGTCAGAAAGACTTCTCAAATCAGAAAATCTCTCCGGACAACCATAGGAAAGCTCATCAATGGATCCGATAAAAGGTGAATCCTCAAAGAATGCACATCTCTCAAGTCTCGCCACACTTTTACTGATGCTTTCATGTCTTCTTTCATTCTTGGCGTGAAATTGCAGGAGCCATCGTAGTAAGATGGAGGAAACCGCAGCAGTATCACCATTGAAAGCCGCCATACGAAGCAGCCTAAAGGATGCAAAGTCGCCACTCGCTGCTTCTAGTGCAGCAAGAACACTAAGAAGGCAATCACTAACCGGCATCCTTCCACCCGAGAATTCAAGAAGATCTTCACTTGGCTGGAAATAACCAACAACTGTTGTATTATGAATGAACCAACTGAGATTTTTGCTCTCTTCTTGGTGGCATCACTTACATAGTTAGATTCAAAGCTAACAAAAATAAAAAAAATCTCTTCTTGAGTTTTGTATTAATTACTACTGTATTATATAACACTGGAATATTATTAGAGTATTAGTCCTTTTACTTGAACCTATAGTTCAAGTTGAAAAAGCTTCTTCTTTTTAAGCAAAGTTTTGAGCTTTAGTCTTTTGACCAATCTATATTACTGTTTGTACTGGGTAAATTCTGCCTTATGACTTTAGTCGATAAAAAAAACATGAGAAGGTAAACCAGCATAGGTTGTCACTCCCACTGGGAAATGGGAAACAGGAGAAGAGAAGAATATAGAATACGTTTAAGAGAATGCAATCTTTTTATTGTTTTTATACACTGATGTACACAAAAGGCAATAATGTTTCATTAGTCTCTACAATAGTTACTGTTTCTCTCTGCATAGTAATATACAACAACACTGAAAAGAATGAGATGAATGTATGGCAAAATCCCAGAAATGAGACAAGATAAGAAAAAAGTTACTGACTTTGATGATTTCTTTTCATGGCAATGGTGTAGTAATAAGCACGCAAGAGGCGTTTCCGAAACCTCCCAGGATGCAGCCTCACATTCTGGCGATCGAGGTAGATCTTCTTGGTGAATTCCCAGCCCTTCTTGTTCACGCTATCAGGGTCTGTGAGAACAGCATCGTTGCTGTCATATTCATCGTACAACGAGCTCTCGTTCGGGAGGATTTTGTAGCCAATGTACCTCAATCCCATCTTCTTTGCTGGCTCGCCATAGTAAGCCTCGGCTGCCCAGTCTGTTCCCAGGGGGATGATTTGGATGAAGACAGACTCGGGGTTCAAGAAGAGGAAATGTGTCATGGCAGCCCCGTGAACTCCAATCATAACATCGCTTGAGTTCAGAACTCTGTAAATTTTCGCGAGCTCTGTGGTCCTTGCAGGCCTCAAAACTTCAACTTGGAACCCAATTTCTTCAGCCATTTTAATCAACGAGTCCTCGTTAAGTATTGCTCGTGAGTCGTTCCTAGCAACTATAACCAGCTTAGGTGACTTCACGTTTTGCTTCTTCACCTTTATCTCGGTTGAGGAATTTGATTCTTCCTCTTCCTGAATAAGGCCTGTAATTCGAGGGAGATAAGCTCGGTCTAGCAGCTGCCTAAAGTCTCTGATGCTCTTGTTCCCTTTCATCAACGAAGAATCGATGGAGAGCTCATCATGGATCTTTAAGCCAACTATAACTTCAGGGAAGCAATGGGTTCTGTTATCTCGAAAATCCACTGCAGGATACTCAGAAAGGCGAGAAAGGATGTTTTCGTACTTGGAAATCCACCAGCTATGATATTCAAGGATGACAAACACAACCTTCCTATCGAAACGCTGAGAAGTGATGTAGAGAGGCAAAATCCCATCGTTGAATTCGTGATACACATTCCCAGTATACCCTCCCGTCGAGAACACAACAGCAGGGACATCATGCTGGACATCACACGCGTGATGAATCCCAGAATCCTTCTTGTTCTTCACAACAAGATCTAATTCATCAATCGTGTCCATCACACTCGTTTCCCATTTCCTAGTATAAGGCTTGATCTTTTCAACTGGAACCGCCTTATCGTTGTCACCAGACAAGCCCAAAATGTATCGGTTATGACCATAGCTTCTGTAGAGGGCAATTGAAGATGAAGCGGGATCTGTTCTTACATCCCCTTTCATTATACACACATCGGATCGAAAGCTACTTCTGTCACAACAAATAGTACCTGCAAAAAGATCAATTTTTTTAAAAAAAATGGCATAAAACCAGCACTTGATATTGCTATTATACTGTTCCATTACTATTCCCACAGCTTCCCTTCTACAAATACAAGAAAACAAGAAAGTTCTCCTAACATGTAAACCTGGAAATGTACAAAAATTTGAATCCACTTTCAGATACTATGCAATAATGATGAAATTAATCTACAAGGAGAAACTTCCAGCTCATTGATAAAGATGGCAATTTCCTTATTAGCTTCATAAGTGACACAACTTCCCACAAAAGGTACCTATCTAGGCCCTACATCTCGACCAGACAGGATAGTAGATGGATAAATTATGGTAAACATGGGCTCAATGACTCAAAGGTGACACTACTGTTACAGCCAAATAATTTTTGGGGAAAAAAAATAGAAATATGGATATATGCTAATGGTAATTGCATACAAGAAATATATGGAAAAATAGTTGCAGATGTACCCAAAAAATAACATGAAAATCATCCATCTTCAGACCAAAAATAGAGGGGTAATTGAAATAAATAAGAACACACACACACATACAAACACAGAGATTTAAGCTATGGAGTGGAGAAAAAGCAGAGAGAAAACTAACCATTGGGGGCAGAGGAACAAAGGGAAGCATATGAATCGATTTCAGAAGCAAGTCCTTCACCCTCAAATCCAAACGAATCTGCACCCACACATATTTGTCAATAAACAATCAGAAAACAGGATAATCTTACAAGCAAATGGAGCAGAGAGAGGTGAGGTGAGCTTACACAAGAGAGAAAAAGTAGGGGGAGAAGCACTGAAGAGATGAGGTGCAAAGATAAAGCTGCAAGACAAGAGAGAGAGAAAGAGGATAAACAAAAGATTGGGCTTTGCTCTCTTGTTATAGCCACTGTTCCCCCACACCAAACCCAGAAGGTGGTGATGAGATTCATCTTCTTCATCACCATCAACCAACCCTCCTTTCTTCACCAGCAGATGATTTCTCTGGTAGTGCACCATCCTCCTTCCTGGTCCTCGACCACCCTATATATATGTACACAGAGAGAGAGAGAGAGAGAGAGATAAAAGAGCTGTTTTTGTATAGAAAACGGAGTAAAGGCGAGAGCTTTATATGCAAAAACGCATATATTTCGAAATGGGTTCGTGAGATTTTGGTTCAGAGAAGATTGTTCCGCGGTGTTGGGTATGGGGCGGAGCAGAGGTGTTTACAGGAAGAAACACGCAGAGCGAGAGGCGGCGGGGAGTGGGTAAAGAAAGGCATAGAATGGACAGAAGTTCATAGATTTCTCTGAGGCATTTGCGTGTATTAATGGGAATAGGAATGGGAAGTTGAAACCTGGTACTGGGTTGGCTGTTGTCTGGCTTCTGGTCTGGTCTTTAGGTCATATTCGGTGGCAATGGATTCTGTAACCTCTTCCTTGCATATACCACCCTACCAGCTTCCAAATATTATTGTCAAAAATGGCAACCCACCAAAGTTGATTAGACGGTTGATTCAGTAACTACAATATTTTAACTTTGACTCTTATTTTAGTCGCGATTTATAAGTCTTTTTTATTTGAAACGATTAACTATGAACAATTTAAATGGTTTCTCTTTCTGGTTCTTTGCTGACTAAGATCACGTACTTGTAAAATTTATCATTACACACCCTCCTATAATAGACTCCAAAGGTCCCCTACATCCCGACCTGATATAATTGAGCATCGTTAAACAAACCTTTATTACTTTTATACTTTCATTACTTTTATACTATCTTTGATGAAACTTGATATCGAGTCTGTTTTAAAACTTCAATCATGTAACTAATTGAACTGGTCAAAATTTTCATTCTTATTTATAGTAGTTGGAATTATTTATTTTGTTCTGTAAATATATAATAATATATTAAAAGTAGTGTAAAAATAATTATGAAGTGAGGAGAAGGGTCATTATTCATGCCTCATGGTGTAACATAACACGTTTAGTGCGTCAGGGGGAACATGGATTTACCAATTTTGGATTTTTTTAATTTTTTTTTTTTTAAATTTTAGGTTCGAGAAATACGCGTAATATAATAATGTAATATATACCAATAGCATAGAGCCTCAGAATTTGCGTGTGGAAGGTGAGAGAGAGACCCGTTGCTTTTCAGAATTTGCTTCCACCTTTGGACTGCTTTTTTCTTTTAATCATCTAACTATTTTTCAATTTTATTATGTAAAGATTTTTTTAAAAAGTTGACTTTTAATCTTCTAACTTTAGTTAAATAATTTAATTTAGAACACCAAAGTAATTTTACTAAAAATTATCATTATTACATATGAGGATGTTGCAAACATTTTTAAGTATTCAAAAAGTTTTTTTTTTTTTTGAAAGGAAGTATTCAAAAAGTTGAATACTAAAAATATAAAAATCCAAAGCTAAACTTTATATAAAAGAAATTATTATAGTCAAAACACATGAAATTATCAGTATTTATTAAATGCTTAGTTAATCTAACAAAATGGTGATTCAATTCGATAATAACTCAAAACAAGTTACATTTGAAGAAATTTATACTTTATGAATCTCTCTCTCTCCTTTTTTTTTAATCCAATAAATTCATAGTGGTTATATGAAGATGTGCACTTATAAAACACATTTTTGTGAATCTAACTGATAAAATATCATATGAAAATAAATCAGTTTAGGTAAAGAGATAAATTTAAAATTTTGTAATTATTAAATTAATTAATTGATTTTTTTTACACATTTAAAATTTTGTAATTACTAAATCAATTAGGTTAGATTTTCTTCCACCAGGACTATGTGGTCTAATGGTATCCGGGTTGGATTTCCATTTGGAAGATTATGAGTTCAAGCCTCAGTGGAGGCGTTATTGGTTCTTTGTGTTTCAGTAGGTTGAGAAAGTATATGAACAGATACTACAATGTAATAGAGCCAGTAACTTTCAAAAAAAAAAAAAAAAAAGGTTAGATTTTCTTCCACATCTCAAAGCTATTCACCTTTCCATTACTTAGCAATTTTTAAGTGCACAAAAAAGTTTTATTCTTTCATGTGCAGAGAGAAGACGATCAGAAGGCATAGATGTTTGTGTCGGGCATGAAAAGCATTAATGTTTTTAACAACGTTTGATTAATATAATTATCCAAACATGTCTCTAAAATAAATAGCAATATACATTCATAAAGCAATGGCCAACACAAATCTAGGCATCAAAGCCAACACCTGCGGCGTCTTGGCAATATTTTAATGTAGTTATATTATTAGGAATCTAACCATATTTTATTTTATTGTAAAAAATTATTTTCCCTTTTAAATTAACATCCTAATGTTTACAGTTTACTTGACGATAATTTTTCTTTTTTATATTTAAGTTATTTGCATATTGTAAGTTGTAATACTATCCTACTTTAAAAAGTTAATTCATGGCACAATATTTCAGTTCGCCTTTTCGTAACAGTCTATTAATCATTTTAGTTTGAATTGATTAGCAATAATTTAATAAGTAATCTAATACGTTATCTCTTTGTGATCTTTTACTGGTTATGGTCATGAGACGATTTTCACCCATAATAATATAATATACATTTAGATAATGGTTAATTGGTTACGTTACAGATCTTTTTTTTTTTTTTTTTTTTTTTTTTTTTTTTTTGTAAATCACAATCACAATAATTATTTATTTGAGATAAAATGAGGATAAGAGCGTATACCTTTGAATTTAGGTTGGCACCTGTCATTTTCCTTGACCTACATTTTAAAACTTCTGAAAATATTATTGTATATACCCTTTTACAAAATAAACATAAAACAATAAAAATCAAGATTGAAGTAGCGTCCAAAAATGAAATGCTAACTAACAAATACAGGTATACGTTTATATGTTAAATATACAAGTTAGTTATACAAAACTAAAACAAAACATATATTTTTTTTTGAATGCAAACAAAACATATATTTAGTCAAATACTTAATTACTCAAATAATGTTAACAATGATTGTCAAAACGGTCTCGGTCAATTTACCCGTTTAACTTAATTTTTAGGTAAGTTAGGTTTGACGCTAGGCTGGACCCATTTAATTGCAGGTTACACATGCCAATGTTTGTAACCCACTACCATCTTACTCTCAAATTTATCGAAATATATTTTGTAATTTGATTGATTTGTAATTTTGTATTAATATTTAAAAATATTGTGTATTAAAAAAAATTCAACTCTTAACATTTTAATTAATCAAACCCTAATAGAACTAATCATGCTAAGAATATTTCTTAAACTTTATTTGTACAATTATATATTTATGTTAGTTTATGTCACTATCTGAGGATATGCACATGATCACTCATATAGTCATATGTAATAATAACTCGCTAACGATGTTTTTGTATTTTATTACAGTGTTATATACTTATATCTTATAATAAATGATTAATTGTGTTAGAATAACTTGACTACGGTTTATGTGAATTTCTCCGAATTATATCTACCTTTTCGTTTATTTGTATCTAAAAAAAAATCAAATGGAAACTATGCTAATGAGCAGGTCTTGGCAGAGCCTTATCTAGTCTTTCCCAAGGAACCTTCACAAATAAAGAACCAAAATAAAATATAAAGTCATTTAAACTAACATAATAAAAAAGTATATATATATATATATATATATACTACAAAGTCAAAGTATTATCATGTAATTAATTGCTAAACGTAATTTGTGAAAATTGCTAAAATTTTAATTAGAATTTATTGGCATGAGCACAATATTCAATACTCAATAGCCTTATAGCCCCAACCCTAAATTTTAGTTTGGTAAATCCTACCCTTAAGTTACTTGACATAATAAATTAGCCTGACATTTATGTATGTATATATACATAGTAACCTTTTAAAAAAAATAATAATAATTCAGGTATTTTAGTTTCGCCAAAATACATTCCGGATTCCATGAGTACGTTAGCCCCTTATAAGGCGCATAAGAAGGTAAATTAGCATGCCCAACTTCAAGATCCAATACCACAAAATATACTTTTGCGAACAAGAAATTCAACCCAATCTTTGTTCATATATGGAAGTCCTCTCCATATTGGGGGATTTGATAAATTGCTATTAGCTAATTGTGTTAGTGAGTTTGACTAGTCGATAGCATTAGCTGATTGTAGAATGATGTTTGGTAAATTAACTGTTATCTAATAACTAATTTATTTTCTCAAAAAGCTTATCAAAAAAACGGCTTTGAGCAATTTTTTGAATTTTAGCATATTGGAGAAACAAGTTGTTACAAAAAACTGGTTAACCAAACGTTCATTGGTTGTTTAACCAGATCAAACAACTAATAGTGATCAAACAAGTCAAAATTAGTTGATAAGCTAACTATGTTATCAAACAATGTCAAAATGTAAAAATATTATTACATTTTTCTTCAAAATATTACACTTTCTATATAAATAATAAATATTTTATTCCTATTAATATTACATTTTTGAGTATAAACATTACATCTGATATTGACCCGACTCGTTCTTATGCAAGTTTTTGCTAAAGATTAAAAATATAAAAAAATTTCCTCGAGCAGATCTTAAGAAAAGATATATATAATAGAATATATATAGTAGATATATACACTACACGACATTACATTGCACAGATCCCCACTGCCTCCTTTGCAAATTAGAGTTGGACCGCAAGGTGGCAGAGTCACATGACTACATGAGACAGTTTCCCCTTCACTTCACTGCACGTGAAACCGTAAAACAATTTGGATATAAAATAATAATCATATGATAATAACAATAAGAAACTGGAAAAAAAATTAAAAGTACATAAAATATAATTTCTTATGTGTGTGTATCATTAACATATGAACAATGTTCATGTATTGGTATTTGATAGAATAATGGTTTCAAACCAGGCCACTTTAAATAAGTTATTCATTGTTCAATCTAATCATTTGAGTTTAGTGCGAAAGCATCACAATTTAGTCTTATAGTTTAGTTCAAGTATCACGAGTTAGTTTACATGTAACGACTGATCAATATTGCAAGAACCGGTTAATAAACTAATTTAAATAAGTTAGGAAATTAAGTTCTTATTTTTATTAGTATTTTATAGGATATTGGATTCAAACTAGTTTAAATAGGCTATCGGGTGATGACTTTTGACATATAGTATGACTCTAATACCAAATTAAAGTATGTGTTTCATCTCAACTAAAGGTATAAACTAATAGTTAGATTGCATATTAATAGTTATATGCTCAATACTCATTGCTGATCAATGATCATATTTAGATGGTGGAGGATAGGTTCTTTAATTGTGAACTGGTCAACCTATTAAGGACAAACCAGCAATTAGGAACAAGCTATATATTAATTTATTTATAGTACATACTATACGAGAAGGAAGGAATTTTTGACTCTGATCTATCCTATTAGACCGAGCAATTTTTTTCGGAGAATGTAATTATTTTCACTATTTTTTACAAGTTAATTACATATCATTAGTATTAATGCATAAACATTTATAATTGAATTAATATATTATTTGGAGGAATTCAAGATATTTGGTGTCATATTCGTAGACTTTGGTTACAATGATTAATCAAGTGTTCAGCTCGTGAGTCACACGCTGTATTTATGGAATCTGTCAAATCTTCTCAACATATATTTGTGGAAGTGTTGTCTGTGCTGCATGATTTTTAACCACACTTAATAGACAACGGTTAAAAATCATTGTTTATGTGTGTGACTATCAACAATATTTAATAGACACTATTTTTTAATTATTGTCTTTTGTAGAAAAGATAACAGCTAAAAATCGTTGTCTATGTGCGCGACTTTCGACATTAATTTCAATAATATTCTAGACAACGATTTTTAACTATTGTCCTTTTTAAAAAGACAATGCGTAAAAATTTTACTCAAAATCAACAAATTTTAACCATTGTGTAGGTGCATTTTTCTTATAGATGCTGACCACTTGATCAGGAGCGTCCAATGCTCTGATGGTGTTGGAAGATGTTGAATTGAAGCCTCTATCATATCACAAATACGACACCCTAAACATTCGGATTGTTTTGACTTTTACCAAAAGAATGGCCCCCTTGATCACGCTTACCGCCTTCAATCTTTGACGACTTCGTTCCAACTTCCAACATACTACAATGGTATCTATCTATATATCTTGTAAAATAAAAATAATTCAATAGTCTTAATTGGTCCCCTTCAGAGTTACGTTGCTCCCTCATATTTAAGTGGCTTAGATTTGATATACTTGAATCAATGTATTTTGTTATTTTTTATTTTTGGTTGAACTCTATTATTTATACTTATTCTTATGTTAGGACCTTATGTAATTATTAACCAATTACCATTTTTTAACATATAATTAAGGAAAATGTATTTTTAGTCTTTTAATTATTTTATAATTGCATAGGAAAAATTTAAAGAAGAAGATTATCAATTCTCTGGTCTGCATATGAAATATTGAAATTGAAAAGATTGTAAAGAACAAATATAATAAATTACTAAAATATGTATGTACTTTAAAATCTTAATGTAGTTTAATAATTTGTTACTCTAGGGTAAAAAAAGTGTAACAATTTAGAAAATTAAATTGTATATTGTAACTACGAAAAGTTATAGACTACAAATTAATAAAGAATAATTGAGATGTTAAAAATATAATTTATTGTATAGTTTAGTTATATAATCTGCTCCGTGATATGTATGGGCAGGGAATTGCCCATCACCCCGTGGCTCCAAAATGTCTCTTCATTTCCATATGAGGGTCACATGCATGACTTTTTTTTTTTTTTTTTCATTTAAAAACACATATTATTAGTTTGCTTTATTTGATTTACAGAAAAACTTGTCGTCGTTACTTGAAGGTGTATTTTGAGTAAAATTCGTTTTATAATTAAATTGTCCATAATATTAGTTTGCTATTGCATAAATGACTTATAATTTACTCTTTTTCTTTCCGGCGTAAATGTGAGACTAACATAAAGGCAAAGAATAATCCCATCCACTTTTTATGCACAAATTGAATGATATACCAAGTACATTATAATATGTTCAAATTAAATTAAATGACTTTTTGGTGAAGAGAAACTTCAGTTACTCTTAGATAAAGGGAGAGATATTTTGAGTGTAGGTAGTAAATCTGTTCAGCCCAAATTGTTCATGATTCACAATGCACATTGTAGTTTATTTTATTTTATTTTTGGTGTACCCAGGATTTCTACCGTTGTACATACTAATCCCGTTGCTGAATTGTAAACTTTTATTTTGAGTGAGACAGTTGACTTGGAGATCACATTGTAGCTTATGTATGTCCATATTATATATTTTCAGTTAATATATTATGTACATATAGTTAACAAATTATGTACCTTTTTGTTGTTAACAACAACTTAACATATTATGTAAGCAATTAACATATTATGGATAGTAAATTTGATAACCACACTATTTCATTTATGAATGTTCTAGTAATTGTCATTGAGAGACTAGACAAACAAGAAGTGAAAACAAATAAGAAACAAATCTGATCTTAAGCCTTGCTTGATAGCTAAGGAATCCCCTTCGTCCCTTACCCAACTTGATAATAGAGGGTTAGACCTAATTAGTTATGTAACCTATTGACTAGATAATGGATGGTTATTAGACCTAATTAGTTATGTAACCTATTGTTTAAGTTGGTACCAACAAATGTGTCATGTCCTCGATTTCAATGGTTGCACTGCCTGAAATCAATTGACATTGTCAGCAAATTATATTGTAAACCATGAATAATTGTTCATTTTTAATATACTAAAATTTATTTTTAGATAATAAATCTAAAAATGATCATTCAGTACACAAAAAATAAACATTCAAAAACAAACACTTATGTACTAAAAATAAACCTTGGGTATACTATTGGACATTGTGACAATATGCACAAGAAGAAGAAGTTTCTGTGTTTTAAGGAGTGGATAAAATTAAAAAAAAAAACATCAATACATGCAAAGTATGGATCTGGGCCACAGACCATAGCCACCAACATAGGAAGTCCAAAGGAACAAATTAAATGGGCTCAAAAACCTTAATCTAATCAAAAAGCTCAACCCGACAACCTTAGCATTTACGAATCTACATTCGACGACCCATTTAACTTACGAAGTGCATAGTAATAAGCACGCAACAATGGCTGCCGGAATCTCCCAAGATTCAGCCTCACATTCTGAGGATCAAGGTATATCTGCTGGGTATATTCCCACCCTTTCCTGTTCACGCTGAGAGTGTCGGTAAAAACAGGGTCGTTTTCGTCGTATTTATCGATCAAAGTGCTCTCATTCGCGACGATGTAGTAGCTCATGTACTTCATCCCCATCTTAATCGCCGGCTGCTCGAAGTAGGTCTCCGCCGCCCAGTCTATTCCGATGGGGACGATTTGGATGAAGGCGGCGCCTGGACGGAGGAAGAGGAAATGCGTCAGGGCGGCGCCGTGGACGCCGATCAACGCGTCGCTGGAATTTAGAATCTTGTACATTCTCGCCAGCCCCGTTTTCCGGTTCGGCCTTAGAACTGAGACGTCAAACCCGATTTCTTCGGCCATCTTGATCAGATCGTCTTGGTTTAGTATCTTTCTTGAATCGTTCCTCGCCATTATTACTAGTTTCGGTTTCTCCGATTTTTCCGCCGGATAATCCGGATGTTGTTCTTCTTCAAATATTTCCTTAATGCGTGGCGCGTAAGCCCGGTCCAGGAAATCCCGGAAATCTCGGATGGTGGTGTTGTCGTCGGTTAACGCCGGGTCGATTTGGAGGTCGTCGTGGGCTCTCAGGCCCACCACGGCGCCGGGGAAGCAATGGGTTCGGGTATCTCGCCGGAAATCGATGACTTCATAGTCCGACAAGTGGGCCACGATTTCGTCGTAGAAGGAGAACCACCAGTGGTGGTACTCGAGGATTACGAACACGACCTTGCCGTTATAACGCCGTGAAGTCATGTACAGAGGGACTATGCCGTCGGCGAATTCGTGGAAGAGGTTCCCGGTGTACCCTCCCGTCGAGAAAAATAAGCCTGGAGAGTCGTGCCGGACGTCGCAGCGGTGATTCACGGCGGAATTGCGGACCTTCACCACCAGCTCCAGTTCGTCAATGGTGACCATGATGGTTCTCATGGGTTTTCTCGTGTACGGCCTGATCTTTTCGCTCTGGATTACGCCGCCGCCGTCGCCGGACCAGCTGCCGTTAAACTTCGTCCCGTACACGATTATCGAAGACGACGAAGGATCTGTCCTTACATCTCCCGTCATATTGCATACATCGGATCGCTCAAAATGTCTGTCGCAAGAAATCGTCCCTGATAAAATATCAAAATTATCAAACACCTTCCAACAACACTAGAAAAAAAAAAAAATCAGGTAGAGCAACCCCAATCAAGTTAGTCAAGCACAGAAACGGATCCAGAAAATTTTCTGAGCATGAACAAAGTATTCAGGTGGTTGATTTAGTAACCACAAAGTTATAAGTTTAACTCTTAGTGAGAGTAGTCTATTGATTTATTGGTTTGAGCCGATTAATTACAGGCAACATAATCTAGACTCGTTCGGTGTCCTTTACTCGCTTGGCCTAGTGTCACAATGTCAGATTTATCCAGTGTACACTAATCAACTATAGACAACTTAGACTATTTTACCCAATGCATACTATTAATAATGAGTAGTGACTGTGAATTTTTCCCGACACTAAAAAAACAAAGAAAAAGGATATTCCAGATTAGAACAAAACCATTGAAGACAGTGTTTCCACTGGAAGCATTTTCGTCTGCTTCAGAAGCAAGCTTCTCATCATCTTCAAACCTAATAGAATCTGCAAAATTTACACAAATTCATAACACCCAAAGAAGAACATCAGATTAAAGCTTTAAACATGGAATGGAAGCAAATAGAGTTAGAGATGAGAAGCCTACAGAGAAGGGAGAAAGTTGGGGAAGAAGTGAAGAGGTGTGCTGCTAGAATAAAGCTACAAGAAATGAGGGACAGGAAGAGGAGATAGAAAAGCTTTGGTTTAACTATAGTCATATGACTAGAACTGCAATCATCATCAATATCACCCTCTTTCTTCAAGGACTGATAGCTTTTCATCATATATTTTTCTTTAATTCTATATATATTCTGATCTGTGTATTTATATTTGTGTTATGCATGTATCTAATGCAGTGTGAAAGGATAGAGATTTATATGTAACATGAAGTGAATTAAGACATAGAGTAATGCCTATTGCCCGATTGATACCAACAATTCCTTTTTTATATCGGATACGTACAGTTATTACGCCTGTCTGATACAACTAATTAAGCATAACATGACTGATTATATTGTATCTTGTTGAGAGCTGCATTAGACATTCCCTATAAATTCATCTGATTTTATTAGCAATAATCACTCTTTAGATGGGGAGAGTGAGTGCACTAGCTACCATTTTCTAGTATTTAAACTTTGAACTTTGGTACTCCAAAATGTTGCAAAAATGGCAAATGAAAATTACAATATTGGAATTAATAAGATTGCCTTAATTGAATTAGTTCTAAACCAAAGGTATTTGGAAAAGTGAAGTATGAATAAGTATACATCCAATGCATGGGAAAGAGTATATGTTACGTTGTAGTCATTAGTTGAAATGAAAAGGAAAAAAAAGAAGTATATTTCTTTAAAATGATAGGTTTGATGCATGTATCTACCCAAAACAAGTATTAATTGTACTTTCATATACTATAAACCTATATTTTGATATACTCCTTAGCTCCTACCTAAAAATGATAATATGGACTAGACCGACATACGTAGACACGAGTCCAGTCTAAAATGTATTGGTTGTAATTTCTTTTGCATAGAACGTAAGTCCCAGCACCTTTTTATAAAGAGTCACCCACTCACACTAGCAATAAATTACAAAAATCTTGTCCGCATGAACAAGTTAGTTGGCTACAGGGATGAACAATTGTTATGCTGTGCATCCGCATGCACCATGCATGGTGCATTCGGATGCAAAAACGACGTCGTTTTGACGTCTAATTTTTTAAAAAAATTAATTCAGAATTGCATAACTACACATCCATAATTTTATCACGTCCACAATTTCATAACTATACATCCAGAATTACATAACTACACATCCATAATTTCATAACTATAAATCCAGAATTGCATAACTACACATCCATAACTTCATAACTATAAATCCAGAATTGCATAACTACACATCCATAACTTCATAACTATAAATCCAGAATTGCATAACTACACATCCATAACTTCATAACTACACATCAAGAATTGCATAACTATACATCCAGAATTTCATAACTAAAAATTCAGAATGAATGAACTAAAAAATGAATAACATAATGTTGTTGCTGAGAATCGAAACTGATTTTTTTTTTTAAAGTAGGACGCGCGTTTTGATGCAAAACGACGGATGCACAGCATAATTTGAAGAATAAATTACAAAAATCTCTATGTATTAATTTAAATTTGGAAAAAGTGTCAAATTGGCCCCCTAAGTCGAGTGGATAGTGCAATTGGGTCCCCTAAGTGAAAAAAGCTCCATTCAGGTCCCCTAAACCTGTAAAATTATTCAATTAAGTCCAAGTTGACTTATTTATCAGGTTAAATGCATATGGTGTTGACACGTGTCTTTATTTTATTTTTTTATTAAAAATATTATTTATTATAAATTAATTATAATAATAATAATTTATTATAAATTAATTATAATAATAATTATTATATTTAAAAAAAAAAAAAAAACCGTGACCGTCTGGCCACGGCCGACGAAGGGCTACGACCTTCGCCGCCGCCCTCGTTCCAGACAGAGGGGACTGGAACCTTTTTTTTTATAAATAATAATAATAATAATAATAATAATAATAATTAATATTATTATTATTATTATTAATTTATAATAAATAATATTTTTAATAAAAAAAATTAAGGACACGTGTTAACACCGTATGCATTTAACCGGCAATTTATATCCTACACCACGGTGCGCGTTGCACTATGCGCCCAGATGCAAAACGACGTCGTTTTAATTTTTTTTTTTTGAAATTTCCCGCCCCAGTGAATGGCAGTAGTTTTTTCTTAAAAAAAAAATCCGCTGTTCAAGAATGTACATAATGTTATACTAGAATACACATAATGTTATACATGAATGTACATAATTATATAACAAAATATACATACTCTTTTTAAAAGATAATGCACATAATCTAACATAATACATAATAAACATAAACTTTTAACATAATACACATCAACTCTTAACATAACAACACACAAATTTTCTGATTCGGATGTACATAATTGTATAAAAAGAATGTACATAATTGTATAAAAAATACACATAACTGTATGAACCAATACACATAACATTGTGAACAAATACACATAACGTTGTGAACAAATACACATAATCTCAGCAACTTCCTACCACGCCTCCCAACACTACCCCAAAACGACGTCGTTTTGGGAGGCGCGCGGCGCACAGTGCTATGTGCGCCGTGGTGTAGGATATAACGATTGCATTTAACCTGATAAACAAGTCAACTTGGACTTAATGGAACAAATTTACAGGTTTAGGGGGCCTGAATGGAGCTTTTTTCACTTAAAAAACCTAATTGCACTATCCACTCAACTTAGTGGGCCAATTTGACACTTTTTCCTTTAAATTTATTTGTTGTAAATGGTAATAAGCTTGTAATTCGTATTAGTTTTAACTCTAAAAATGGTAAGTTCCTAATTTATAAAATATAAATTTTAACTTTATAAATATATTAATAATATACAGAGTATTGTTTACCAATTATATAAATATGTCAATAGTACTAAAAAAAAATGTAATAAACTTAAACTTTTATAATTATAATTAAAAATTTAAAAAGTTTAAATTATAAACTTAAACTTTTAAAATTATTAAATTTTAAATATTTTAATAAATAAAAGTGGTTGGGCCGAATTGGCCAACATTTTTAAAATATGAGTTAGGCCAGCATTACCCAAATTCTAATGTAGGCTAACACAACATGTCGATCCATGTGAATTTGCACTGAATTAGCACAACAATATACACCGGATCGTTATGCTGTGCATCCGTATGTACCATGCATGGTGTATACGGATGCAAAAACGATGTCGTTTTATTAAAAATGCGCATCCCATTTTAAAAAAAAAAAAATCAGTTTCGATTCCCCTTAACAGCATTATGTGTTCATAGATTATGGAATTTTAGTTCATAGATTCTGAAATTTTAGTTCATCGATTCTGGAATTTTAGTTCATTCATTCTGAAATTTTAGTTCATAGATTCTGGAATTTTAGTTCATTCATTCTGAAATTTTAGTTCATAGATTCTGGAATTTTAGTTCATTCATTCTAGAATTTTAGTTCGTAGATTCTGGAATTTTAGTTCATCGATTCTGGAATTTTAGTTCATTGATTCTGGATATATAGTTCAAATTATGCACAATATAATGTTGTTGCTGGGAATCGAAATTGATTTTTTTTTTCTTTTTAAGTGAGACACGCGTTTTTAATAAAACGACGTCGTTTTTGTATCCGTATGCACCATGCATGGTGCATAAGGATGTACAACATAATTTGCCATATACACTTGTCATCACTATTCATACCACACAATATCATTAATTAATTATTTACATAATATACTTGCAAATGATGTGTTTTCAAAATATTATTTATACGAGTTTGTTAATTATAGTTAGGGACTTGGCTATTCTTATCCATGTAAATCTCTCACTTTAAAAAATGTCTTACTTTCGTTTTATATTATATATAAAAAAAAATAATAATAGAAAATAAAAAGTACAGCATTAGGATATCTTTTGCTGCCTTGTAAAACTAAAGTACAAAAAGGCTGCCAGCCTTTTATGTACTACGTAATTAATAAAAAATTCATGAGGCATGTCAAATCATCTTGCAAATGAATATATTGGTTGAGATAATGTTAGTGTTAGGGACAATCAATATTGAATGAGAAGTATTTACATTCATCACCACCCAATTGGCATTTAACATCACACTCCATAAGTTTGACTATTCAATAATGAATGAGAAGTTTTTACATTCATCACCACCCAATTGGCCTTTACAAATTCACCATCACACTTCATAAGTTTGACTATTAAGAGCCAATAATAAAACGAAGACATTAATATACGCATAACTCATAAGATTCCAATCAAAATGCCAAGGCGACAGACCATAAATTCCAACCCACCTGTAATTGACTATACAAAATTTGGTTCAAGTTTTGTAATTAAGTGGTTGGACTTGATATTTGATATGGGGGTAACAGTTGTGTGAGACTGTCTCACCGGTCTCAATCTGTGAGACAGATTAGATATTTGACCTCATTAATCAAAGACACGAGAATTGAGACAGTTTCACACTTTTACCAGGCTTTTCCAAAAACGGCACAACAAGACTTCTAGAAAGACAGGTTCACATGTGTCTCAGGCACAGTTTGATCTTGAAGCCATTATTGGCAGTTTTTGGAACTACTATACAATATATAGATACATACAGGACCACATTATATTCACTTGAAATAACAAACATCTCAGAAAAACAGCAATTCGATGAGATGGAAACTGGCGGCGATGATGTGGCTGTGGTTATGGTGCCTCTTCCAGCCCAAGGCCATCTGAACCAGCTTCTTCAGCTCAGCTGCTTAATCTCCTCCTCCTTTGGCCTCCCAGTTCACTATATTGGATCTTCCATCCACAACCAACAGGCTAGGGTTCGGGCCAACGGATTAGACCCCAAGAAACTAGCAAGAATCCAACCCAAACGCGTCTGTTAAGGAAGGATATGTGGAGAATATGAAGCAATGGTTTATTGGTCCTATGCTCCCGGGCATGATCTCATCAAAGGAACAGAACCCATGCTTAGCTTGGCTTGACGAGCAACCTCAAAACTCTGTCTTCTTTGTTTCGTTTGGTACGATGACTTCAATGTCGGATGAGGAGGTGAGGGCGCTGGCTACGGGGTTGGAGCTGAGCAAACAAAAGTTTTTATGGGTGTTGAGGGATGCAGATAAAGGGAACATCTTTTCCGGGGAATCAAGGAGGATTGAGACCCTTGAGACTGTCCCATGTGTACATGTTATCCTTCAAAATATAATTTATATGACTTTGTTAAATAGGGTCAGTTTTTAATTTTTGTGACCGGGTAAATAAATGAGGCCTTACTAAAATAACAATCTTTAAAACTAATACCGTAATTTTTTCTGGTAAAATGTTACTGTGCGCAAAAAAAAAAAAAAAAAAAAAAAAAAGCCAAAAGACAAATAAAGAGAAGTCGCTAGAGCAACATGCAAGTTTTGAATCCCCACCCATGTGAATGGAGCAAACCATTTGGCCAGTTCCCTACCACTTAGTGTGCTGACGGTTGGGACGACGGATTAGTCTTCTGGCTTTCGACTGAAGGAATACCTTTGAACAACCAAAAAAAAAAACCATGCAAGTTTTGAACCTTGGACTTTTTAAGTTAAAATACAATAAACATATGTTCTTATCATTTCTTCATAGAACCTTTTAAATTTTATTGAAAACTTTTAGTTTTTATTTCTAAATTAGCTAGGTAAAAATGAAACATTGGACCTCTAAAATTTGGAACCCCTCCAAAATTTGAAATCCCTCTAAAATTTGAGGCCCTGTGTGGTAACCTAACTTGCAGAGCCTAAAATCCAACCTTCATTTTAATGTTATAGATAGGGACAATCAATAATGAATGAGAAGTTTTTACATTCATCAGCACCCAATTAGCCTTTACAAATTCACCATCACACTCCATAAGTTTGACTATTAAGAGCCAAATAGAACAAAGACATTAATATTTGCATAGCTGATGGCTCATAAGGAGGAAGGCGCCAAGACGACAGACCATAAATTCCAACCCACAAGTAACTGACAACGTACACAAAATTTCGTTCAAGTTTTTCTCCACGTGGTTGGACTTGATATTTAATGTTCCAATTAAATGCCATCCCATCATTGGATTGAATTAGGTGTTGCCAAACCAATGAAGTTAATTAGTCCAACACAATATTTTAAGTTTGACGGTTGTCGGAGCTGTTTATTGAGCTCTTGGTTTGAATTGATCTTTTAAACTAATTTATATATATACTTGTACGTGGTCTAATTTTTTGTCGGTTAAAGTTATAAAACATATTGGTACAAAAGACACAATTTAAGATGATTTACATCATTGTGATATTTTGTTGATTAGGACCACAAGACGGGTGGGTCCAAAAGACACAATTACCTTTTAAGGGAAAATTGCACTTTTCGTCCCTAAGTTGAATAATTGTAGAATTCATCTTTAAGTGTGAGTTATACTCACTTTTCGTCCTTAAGTTATCATTGACGTTGGAGATATTTATCAGTATAAATGTTATCAGAAAATTTTACATTGGAAATTCGAAAAACATTTTTTAGAAGTCATTTTCCAGTTTCGAAACGCACCCTTATCAAATACTAAACAATCTAATTAGATTGTACAGCTTCAAGAGTGAAAATTGTGAGAAAAATTTTAAGAACTCAAGATGTGTAACATTACTCAAAAATAAATTAACATGAAAAATAACTCTCATTTCTTACTCAACACCTTCTCCTTCTATGTAGACACTTTTCGATTTGTAAAACTCACATGGTAAAAATATTATATCTTTGTTTGTGGGAGATAAAAATGAGAAAAATAGAATTTGAAAGTACTCTTTGAACAAATATGACTGGATGGACTAAATTAACATCATTTCGTAAAATATAAGAAACAACAAGCCTGATGGAGAAAGCATTGATATATAACTGCAAATCTGCAGTAAATAAAGAACACTACTGAACGGAGCGTATGTCAACCTGAAGATCACACCTAAGCCGCCGCGCTTTCTCGACCAATTCGTCGGCGATTTCGAGGACAGTTTCGGCGTCAATAGGCCTCGAAATCGCCGACGAAGTGGTCGAGAAAGCGCGGCGGCTTAGGTGTGATCTCCAGGTTGACATACGCTCCGTTCAGTAGTGTTCGTTACTGCAGATTTGCAGTTATATATCAATGCTTTCTCCATCTGGCTCGTTGTACAGAGGGACTATGCCGTCGGCGAATTCGTGGAAGACAGTGTTTCCACTGGAAGCATTTTCATCTGCTTCAGAAGCAAGCTTCTCATCATCTTCAAACCTAATAGAATCTGCAAAAGTTACACAAATTCATAACACCCAAAGAAGAACATACATCAGATTAAAGCTTTAAACATGGAATAATGGAAGCAAATAGAGATAGAGATGAGAAGCCTACAGAGAAGGGAGAAAGTTGGGGAAGAAGTGAAGAGGTGTGCTGCTAGAATAAAGCTACAAGAAATGAGAGACAGGAAGAGGAGATAGAAAAGCTTTGGTTTAACTATAGTCATATGACTAGAACTGCAATCATCATCAATATCACCCTCTTTCTTCAAGGACTGATAGCTTTTCATCATATATTTTTCTTTAATTCTATATATATTCTGATCTGTGTATTTATATTTGTGTTATGCATGTATCTAATGCAGTGTGAAAGGATAGAGATTTATATGTAACATGAAGTGAATTAAGACATAGAATAATTCCTATTGCCCGATTGATACCAACAGTTCCTTTTTATATCGGATACAGTTATTATGCCTATGTGATATACAATTAAGCATAACATGAATGATTATATTGTATCTGGTACAAAAGACCAGACATTGTTGTCCAGAGCTACATTCCCTATAAATTCATTTTATTTTATTTGCAATAATCACTCTTTAGATGGGGAAAGTGAGTGCACTAGCTACCTTTTTCTAGTATGTAAACTTTGAACTTTGGTACTCAGCTCCAAAATGTTGCAAAAATGGCAAATGGAAATTACAATATTAGAATATAATTAATAAGATTGCCTAAATTGAATTAGCTAGTTCTAAATCAAAGGTATTTGGAAACGTGAAGTATGAATAAGTATACATCCAATGCATGGGAAAGAGTATATGTTACGTTGTAGTCATTAGTAGAAATGAAATTAAAAAAGAAAAAAGTCTATTTCTTTAAAATGATATGTTTGATACATGTATCTACCACAAAAAGTACTAATTGTACTTCCATATACTAAAATCATATATTTTGATTTACTCCTTAGCTCCAACCTAAAGATGATAATATGGACTAGATCGACATACATAAACACGAGTTAGGCTAGACATGACCCACATACTACTATGTCTAGACTGGCACGACACGATCTTATATATATGGTCCTGTCGGGTCACCTTTCATATAATGTGAATTGTATTAGGCTAGTCAGGCCCACATTACTATAATATATTTTTCTTTTAAATTTTTTTTCTAGCTTCTTCATTTTTTTTTTTTTAAATTCTTTCGTGTTATTATTTTTATTTAAGTTTGTAACCTAAAAATGTATTGGTTGTATTTCTTTTGCATAGAAGGTAAGTCCCAACACCTTTTATAAAGAGTCACCCACTCATACTCCTTAAGTTTACAAACTGGCCTTTACAAATTCACCATCACACTCCATAAGTTTGACTATTAAGCTAAGAGCCAATAAAACAAAGACATTAATATATGCATAACTCATAAGTCATAAGATGGAGGAGTTAGGGAAGGCGACAGACCATACATTCCAACCCACATGTAATTGACTATACAAATTTGGAATAAGTTTTGCTCCACGTGGTTGGACTTGATATTTAATGTTCCAATCAAATGCCATCCCATCATTGGATTGAATTACGTGTTGCCAAACCAAAGAAGTTAATTAGTCCAACACAATGTTTTAATTTTGATTTTTCTTTTGCCTGATCCCAACACCTCCCACATAAGGAAGAACGTGATACCAGTGGACCACAAAAGACACAACTCAATTGATTTATTTCAATTTATATATTGTAATTTTTTATGAACTAAGATCACCGGACGGATTGGATGATCCAAAAGACACAGACCTTTTATATATACTAGTTGAAAAGTACTACGGAGTATATCATAAAAAAACAAACAACTTTAAAGCTTGTGAGCTATGATGACTGTTGAGAAAGCGCAGCATTATTGAAGAGCACGGTACGGTTACATGCAATATAATGCATAACAGAATGTAAAATTATACAGTAAAAACGAACAGTGCATGTCTATCTGGTGATATGGGCAATGAAAGAGTCGAGTTCCATGCGAGAAGCACCTCCTTCTTGTGCTGATTTTCTAATGGTTTCCCCAAATTCTTGAGCTCTCTTTCTCATCTCATCTCCTTCCTTAGACCCCATAAGTCTCCTCACCACATTCTCAATCCCAGATGACTTCACCACCTCATGGCGTTCCCCCCATTCCCTTACAATCAGGCCGGTTTTCAGTATTCCGGCCACCAGAAAACTGTTCATTGGCTGGTCGGAGTGCATGGGCCAGGCAGCCATTGGAACGCCCAGAGTAATACTTTCCATGCATGAATTCCATCCGCAGTGACTCATGAACCCTCCTGTGGCCCGATGGCTCAGGATCTCGGGTTGGGGCACCCAGTCTCGGACCACTAACCCCACCCCTTTTAATTTAACCCTCTCTTCAAACCCTTCCGGCAGCTCAATAACCCTCCTTGATTTCCCGGAAAAGATGTTCCCTTTATCTGCATCCCTTAACACCCATAAAAACTTTTGTTTGCTCAGCTCCAACCCCGTAGCCAGCGCCCTCACCTCCTCGTCCGAGATTGAAGTCATCGTACCAAACGAAACAAACAAGACAGAGTTTTGAGGTTGCTGGTCAAGCCAAGATAAGCATGGGTTCTGTTTGTTTGATGAGATCACGCCTGGGAGCATAGGACCAATAAACCATTCCTTCATCTTCTCCACATATCCATCCTTCTCCAATAAATCAATAAATGGACCTTCAATCAACCTATTGGAGTTATGAATATCTCCACTTCTCAACTTTATATACTCTTCCTGAGCCGCTACAAACATGGCAAAGCCCTCCGTCATGCATCCTTCCACACTGGGCATTTCCTCTACTCCTTCCATGGCGATTTGGTTTCCCAATCCATGGTGAATGAAGGACAGTAAAGAGAAAACCGATAAGCAATTAAACGCGTAGGACTCAGCGTTACTGATTGATTCCACATCCTGAACAACCAAAGCCATCAAATTGTCATGAATAATCACAACTCTTCTGGCTTTCGCCGCCAGCTCGCGCAGAACGCCGGCAATGGGGTGGCGGAGAAGCTTCGAAGCGTCGAACGCCGGCTGCAAATGCGCCGGGAACCTAACAGACGCGTTGGGGTTGGGAGAAGGGCAGTCGAATTCGGGAACAGGAAGATCATGGAAATGGATTCCGGCTAGTTTGTTGCGGTCTAATCCGTTGGCCCGAACTCTAGCTTGTTGGTTATGGATGGAAGATCCAATATAGTGAACTGGGAGGCCATAGGAGGAGGAGATTAAGCAGCTGAGCTGAAGAAGCTGGTTCAGATGGCCTTGGGCTGGAAGAGGCACCATAACCACAACAACATCATCGCCGACAGTTTCCATCTGATCTGAATTGCTGTTTTTCTGAGATGTTTCTTCTTTCACCAAGTGAATATAATGTGGTCGTGTATGTATCTATTGTATAGTAGTTCCAAAAACTGCCAATAATGGCTTCAAGATCAAACTGTGCCTGAGCCACATGTGGACCTGTCTTTCTAGAAGCCTTGTTGGGCCGTTTTTGGAAAAATTATACTGTAGACCAGATAATAAACGTTATTTTTTGTATATGAATGTTTGTTTGTTTGTTTGTTTGTTTGTTTTTTTTTTTGTTTTTTTTTGTTTTTTTTTTTTTTTTTTTTTTTGTTTTTAGTTAGTTCACGAGGTATCCTGATAAGACTTTAGCGGTAGAGGGTAACTTTAAGTTCGTAACATACCCGGATGAATGCCGGTTCTCACTGAACTGACCAAATTAAAAGGCAAAGTGCTGACCAGTTCTCAAATATGGACTAAAATTTTGTCAAACAATTGCTTCTTCTGTTGTGTTCTTTTTCCTTTCACCAAGGTGTAAGTCAATTGTTGGGATGCAATAGGAAAATTCAGCCATCGGAAAACATTTTCTGTTGACTGGGGAAAACGAAGCCATTTTGGGGGGTAATGACTTCCGTCAAAATTTGGGGGAAGTCATTTTCTGCCAAAATGTGTAAACATATACAATTCTACTCATTTTTCCATAAAATAAACTAAACACACAAGTTTTCCAAAATGCAACCAAACACTGAAAATGAAAATGTTTTTTAGAAAATGACTCATTTTCCAGAAAATATTTGTCAAAAGTCATTTTCCTGCTCTCCAAACAGACCCAGTGTTCATTCAAATGCCATCCCATCATGGGTGAACTGGATTGAATTAGGTGTTGATTTTTTTTGGTTTAATTGATCACCTAGACTAATTTAATTACTTGTGGTTTTTTTTTTTTTTTTTTTTTTTTTTTTTTGAGCTAAAGTTATAAGACAAATTGGTACAAAAGATACAACTTAGATTAATTTACTCATTGTGATCTTTTGTTGATTAATACCACAAAACAGGTTGGTCCAAAAGACACAATTACCTTTAATTTTTGTACTAGCTGAAAAGTACTACTCCTATATCATAAAAGCAAACAAACAAACAAACAACTTTATAAGCTTGTGAGTTATGATGACAGATGAGAAAGCGCAGCATTATTGAAGAGCACACTAGAGCTACATGCAATATAATGCATCACAGAATGTAAAATTACACAGTAAACATGAACAGTGCATGTCTATCTGGTGATATGGGCAATGAAAGAGTCGAGTTCCATGCGAGAAGCACCCCCTTCTTGTGCTGATTTTCTAATGGTTTCCCCAAGTTTTTGAGCTCTCTTCCTCATCTCATCTCCTTCCTCAGACCCCATAAGTCTCCTCACCACTTTCTCAATCCCAGATGACTTCACCACCTCATGGCGTTCCCCCCATTCCCTTACAATCATGCCTGTTTTCAGTATTCTGGCCACCAAAAAACTGTTCATTGGCTGGTCGGAATGCATGGGCCAGGCAGCTATTGGAACACCCAGAGTAATACTTTCCATGCACGAGTTCCAACCACAGTGACTCATAAACCCTCCCGTGGCCCGATGGCTCAGGATCTCGGGTTGGGGCACCCAGTCTCGGACCACTAACCCCACTCCTTTAACCCTCTCTTCAAACCCTTCCAGCAGCTCAATCCTCCTTGATTTCCCGGAAAAGATGTTCCCTTTATCTGCATCCCTTAAAACCCATAAAAACTTGTGTTTGCTCAGCTCCAACCCCGTAGCCAGCGCTCTCACCTCCTCGTCCGACATTGAAGTCATCGTACCAAACGAAACAAACAAGACAGAGTTTTGAGGTTGCTCGTCAAGCCAAGCTAAGAATGGGTTCTGTTCCTTTGAGATCATGCTCGCCGGGTTTGCATATGCAGGGAGCGTAGGACCAATAAACCATTGCTTCATCATCTTCTCCACATTATATCCATTATCCTTCTCCAATAAATCAATAAATGGACCTTCAATCAACCTGTTGGAGTTATGAATATCTCCACTTCTCAACTCTATATACTCTTTCTGAGCCGCTACAAACATGGCAAAGCTCTCGGTCATGCATCCGTCCACACTGTGCATTATTTCCTCTCCTTCCATGGCGATTTGGTTTCCCAATCCATTGTGAAAGAAGGACAGAAAAGAGAAAACCGATAAGCAATTAAACGCGTAGGACTCAGCATTACTGATTGATTCCACATCCTGAACAACCAGAGCCATCAAACTGTCATGAATAATCACAACTCTCCTGGCTTTCGCCGCCAGCTCGCGCAGAACGCCGGCAAAGGGGTGGCGGAGAAGCTTGGAAGCGTCGAACGCCGGCTGCAAATGCGCCGGGAACTTAACAGACGCGTTTGGGTTGGGAGAAGGGCAGTCGAAATCGGGAACAGGAAGATCATGGAAATGGATTCTTGCTAGTTTCTTGGGGTCTAATCCGTTGGCCCGAACTCTAGCCTGTTGGTTATGGATGGAAGATCCAATATAGTGAACTGGGAGGCCATAGGAGGAGGAGATTAAGCAGCTGAGCTGAAGAAGCTGGTTCAGATGGCCTTGGGCTGGAAGAGGCACCATAACCACAACAACATCATCGCCGACAGTTTCCATTATCTGATCTGAGTTTCTGTTTTTCTGAGATGTTTCTTCTTTCACCATGTGAATATAGTGTGGTCGTTTATGTATCTTTAATCCGCTAAGAATTACATATATGTAAACTTTCGTATGTTGAGCCAATAATGGATCGGAGCAAATTATTTTGTGGACCCGAGTCCACTTTGTAATTTTATTTGATTTTAATGAGTAACTCGTTAATAGACTAATAGAACTGGGTTGCCTAACTTCATTCAAAATTCAAAGACAAAATCTTTTCACAATCATTTTGTCTATTCTTTTGTATCAAATCTATTTTCGATTTTCAATGAAATAGTGCCCTTAACACAATTTACATACTGAATGTTCATAATTTACGTACTAGATATTTACAATTCAAATTGTAAATATTCAATAAGCATTTAATATGTAAATTGTGTATTTTGGACTTAAGTTCATCTTGCAATGTGGACCCGATTCATGGTATAACTGTTGCAATAATGGCTTAAACATCAAACTATACTATATGTGCCTCAGCCACATGGTGGGCCTGTCTTTCTAGAAGCCTTGTTGGGCAGTTTTTGGAAATATTATACTGTAATGTAGACCACGTAACAAACGTTATTTGTAGTATACACACGCTTATTTTTAAAGTATTAAAAATTTATTCTTTCAAAAAGGCTGAACCCCAACTCTAAGGGCCCCCCACACCCCGGCCCGACAGAGCATTTGAGAGGATGTAAATCATGGTGACTCAACTGAACATGAACCATAAATGCTATTAAATATTTATTATTATGTGTCAAATATCTCGTGATTTGATAATATCACTACTGTATATTATAATTAAATAGGTTAGAGTGTAATATATGTATGTTAATGATTCATCGATCTTAGCTTGCTCTGTGAACCATAGTCCAATACAATATATAATGATGGCAGTTTTTGGAACTACTATATAATTTTATATTTCCATGATAAATGCAATTTTATTTGAATGAATATAATAATGTTTTAAAATATATTTCTTTAAAGTTTAGGGTTTTGATTTTTGTAATAAAAAATAATTTATGTATATATATGTATAATAATGATGTCAATCGGGCCTCGAAGAGTCGAAGAGGCTTATTAGCTTCTTTTTTTCTAATCGAGTTTAAAATTATTGGCTCTCCTCAGCTATGAGGATTATCGACGAGCTCAATTAAAACTTACACTAACATTCTAAACTTTCAAGTTTAATAAATTAGCGTGCACTTACACTAATAAATATATTCATTTGATGCAGCCCATCAGAAACTTTAATTATGCCAGTCTCGTCCAAGTGAAATACTAATCGAGTAGATAGTAAGTTCGCTCACTAATTTGACATTATATTGCTCAGAGATAAGGAAATGGTAGAATTGTATGTGAGAGAAGGATTCAAAAAATTACTTCTAAGTAAAATGTTAGGAAAACATATTTGCCAAATATTTTTTTTTAATAGAATAATCATTTTCCTTGAATAACCAAAACAATGAAAAATAATTTTCAAAAATCAATTTCCCAGTTCTCAAATGTAGACTAAAATTTTGTCAAATAATTGCTTCTTCTGCTGTGTTGTTTTTCCTTTCACTAAGGTCTAAGTCATTTGTCCCTGTTTTTGAAAGCTAATTGTAATTTCCCCTAAATTTTCTTGATTAACATTATTGTCATTATTAATGCACTGAAAAAAACACTTACTAGTTTAAGGACGTAAACCAATAGTTTTGTCTGCAATGATGGCTGCTAGATAAGACAATCATTTAATATAACGTGGTCCACTTTTAAATATGTAACTACATTGATGCGCCATAGGTCCAAAGGAGATCCATTTTTATTGTTAAAGAAGGGAGCCGCCATGGGTTCAAAGGGGATCCATTTTTATTGCTAAAGGAAGAAGGAAGCTGAAGCAAAATGAGCTAAGTAGATGTAACCAGAATTGAACCTTCAATCTTTCACTTAATAACACACAATCAATCCACTTAACTATACAAACCAAAATGTATTAAATGGCAGAAAGCTCTACTTATATTAGATAGTGCACTGAGAACAAAGTAGTGGGAATACATGTGTGACCAAGAATGAAGATTAGTCGATGTTGTACTTTTGTCAAGCATCTGAAGGGGCCTCTACACTATAAATAGGCACCCTTTTTTCTCTTAAGACACCATCCTCGGGTTCACTAAATCCCCCCTTGTCAAGTGGCTTATGATCCTAAATTCCAACCATACTAGGGTTCGATTTCCACGACTATATTTATTTTTAGTCCACTATTTGAGCTATATATAACCTGTATTATTTATTTGGGCCGCCGTTTTGAGTATCTCGGGCTTTGTACATTCCATTTTGGGCCTAGTACCATGAGCAATAATATTACTATTTTCCTACCATCGTTTTGTACTTCCATACTTGGACTATTATTTTCCTACCCCCAATGTTGTACTTCTTTACCCGGTTTATGGTGAATCCAATTTCTTCAATAATCATCAAACATAATATTTAGTTTTGGACTTTTAGTATATTGAAGATTCATTTTCAGTTAATTCAAAATTAATTTTTAGTATACTAAATGTTTATTTTTTGATATACAATTCAACAATAAACTGTGAATATACTAAAATGAAAATTTATTAACTAGCTAGTGATTCACACGACAATATACACCATTATCTATTGTATAATTTTGTGTAGATAAGACAAAGCATGACCCACATTTGTACATGCCTTAAAATTCTACGGAGTATATGATTTGTAGCAGCTGGCCAATGGTAGTGAACACAACTCCCTCGCACGGCAAGAAATCAACGTAACAAAGAAATACATGGCCCTAAAATCTCATGAAATTAGGTTTTAATCTAATCATAGAAAATAATCTGTCTTTTTCAATATATCTAGTAATAAATTACAAACTTTTCCTTTTTAACCTGGCCATCAAAAGAAGTGATTTTATGGACTCATACTATTTGTCTTTTTTTCAATAAAATTAAGAGCCTTTCATTTTCTTTACCAGCTGTGGCCAACATATATAGTTCTTGGCAGTAATCATCATATAGTTTTCAACACATGTTTATGTCTTTTGCTTATGGCAGATGAATGACGATGACAACAATGTTATAGTGCTATTGAAATGGGACGCTGACTGCTACGTAATTAAGTATAAAGAAATAAAGTTTCTTGAGCTATTTATCACTCGAGATCGAAGAAGCAATTCAGACAGGAGTTTTAGTTCGATGACAAGATGCTGGACTCGGGCCAGAAGAAGAAGCAATGGTTTATTGGCCCTATTCTCCCTGAAAACCCTGGATTAATCTCAAATAACCATATAGCTTCTGCTTAGATTGGCTTGATGGGCAACCTCAAAACTCTGTCCTGTAAGTTTCGTTTGGTACGATGACTTCAATGTCGGATGAGGAGGTGAGGAAGCTGGCGATGGGGTTGGAGCAGAGCAAACAGAAGTTTGTATGGGTGTTGAGAGATGCAGATAAAGGAAACATTTTTTAAAAATGCCAATATAAGTGTAATTTTAAAATTTTCAATTGAAAGTTTTTAATGATATTTGTTTTCATTAATTTTATTTGTAAAAAATAAAAACAAAAATAAAATAATTAAGTTGAAAAAAATAGTGAGAAAAATTAGGGACCATTTTGGGTTCATGTTACATAATACACCTTATGATATAACTATATATTATGTTTACTGATATCTGTTTCGAATTGAAGGGTATTTTTCTAAACCAGTGTCCATAGTAACACACAAAACTAATTTTAACTTGAACTAATAGTCAATTGAATTGCAATTATAATTTTCACATTCATGTTAAGCAAGAACTTCAACTTTTTGAGTTCTCAAGAGGTGGCAGTCAAACTGTACTCAAAGAATCACTATCTCATTCACATCCTTTGAAAATGGCAATTAATGGAAATTAATAGAAAATTTAAGATGCAATGCATGTATAAAATATTAAATCAACTAATAATATAATAAGTTTTGAATTTTTCAAACATAATTCAAGTCCGAAAAGGTTAGGATAAAAGTAATTTTAATTTATAATTTTTCAAACATAATTCAAGTCCGAAAAAGGTTAGGATAAAAGTAATTTTAATTCATAATTTTTCAATCATAATTCAAGTCCAAAAAAGGTTAGGATAAAAGTAATTTTAATTTATAATTTTTCAAACATAATTCAAATCCGAAAAAGATTAGGATAAAAGTTTGTGGCCTTCTACAGAATTACATGTATATATACCTTAGCCTTGTCTGCTACAGAATTAATTCAGCTATTTGTATAGGCAATTACATATATACTTGATAAGTTACTAGGAATAAGAAAACCCTAAAGAAGAAAGAAAAAGTCAGTAATGGAGAAGGGTATTGACCAATTTGAGGCTGGCTTACCCTCGGTACGGCCACATAATCCCGATAACTATGATTCTGATTCTGATTCTGATTCCGTTCTCAACAATGAAGAAGTAACATATCTTTCCGACGATGGTTCTGTTCTTGACAATGAAGAAGTAGCATATCTTTCCAATGATGATTCTATTCTCGGTCATGAAGAAGTAGCATCCAATGATGATTATGTTATCCATAATGAAGAAGTAATAAATCTCTCGGACAATAATTCTGTTCTCGGCGATGAAGAAGAAACATATCTTTTCGACAATGATTCTGTTCTCGCCGATGAATTAGCAAATCTTTCCGACGACGGTGGTGGTTCTGTTCTCGACTATGAAGAAGTAACATATCTTTCTTACGATGCAGAAGCATATCCTACCGAAATTATCTTAGTATCCGGCGAGAATTCCGGAGCGGAGGCGACGACGAGGGGCGTAGATCAGAACAGGGAGGCGATCAAGTCGTTGGAGAGGAAGATAATAGAGTACGATGAGAGGGATAGTGGCAAAGAAGACGGTGATTGTTGCGTTATTTGCTTGGAGGAGTTAATGGTGGGAATAGTGGTGGCTGTGATGCCGTGCAACCATTGTTCCTTTCACGACGGCTGCCTCTCAACTTGGCTGGAGAGAAGCCTTTGCTGTCCTCTCTGCCGCCGCATGATTTCCGGCCCGCCGCTGCAGGAGAGCCTTTCCTAGAGCATGATCAATACATATCCTGATATCCATGCGGAATTGGTAATACATTTTTTGAATGTGGCTCTCGGAATTGGTAATACATACTCATAGTTTTTTATTTTTTATTTTTATGGCATACCAATAGTTTAGATTTGTATAATTTTTGTAGTTTTTAAATACTTTTAAAATGAAACTTTTATTAACTTTCATATCATAAAATTCTTTTTCTCAAATTGTTCTGAACAACCGCGCCTGCGGTTAACAAAAGGAAAAAAAAAATTATTACAAATATAAACATAAAAAAGTAAAATCAAAAGTATTATATGAATATTGTGAAACTATAGTAAAATTTGAGGATGGTAAATAAAAATTTTTCTTTGAATATTTAGGGAGAAAAGTTATTAGTGAAAGTTTAGAAGTTAGGAATAAAATAAGAAAAGAATAAAAATCAAAACATAGAAGTTTTATATATGAAAAAAATAAAAAGGCTTTGATTTGTTGATGTATTTAGCGAGAAAAAGTTGATAGAGAAAGTTTAGAAATTATGAGAAAAAATTCACGAACGTTTTAACAATTTTCTTAATTCGCCTAAAAGTTGTAATAATTTTTTATTGATTTAGATTTAAGACTCATTTTCAATATTATTCAGTGTGGATCAAATTAAAGGAGACTCATTTTCAATATTTAAAAGGAATAAACTAATGTCTCCACCAGGGACAAGGCGAGACTTCCAGGTGAGGACAAATTGATAGAGTCACATAACTTCTTCTTCTTAAACTTGAGAATGAGGACAAAAGAAAAAAAAAAAAAAAAAAAAAGGAAATAGTTGATCCTCAAGAAAACAAAACAAAAAAAAAAAAAGTTTATTACATTCCATAAATTGATTAAGATAAAATTTTTAAAAATAAAATAATGCTTCCACTTGGAGATCAGATAAAGAGAGACGCCATGTGGAGATGAAACTAACCGATGGAGACTACACGTAGCTTTTCAGTTTTTGGTAGAGTATGAGGGCATAAGAAGGAAATAATTAACGGATAAAGGAGGGGTAACCAAATAATGTAATTTTGAAATCGTATGATATTTTTTTAGTTAAAATGTAATATATAATTTTTGTATTTATATATAAATATTACATTTAAATTAAATAATATTATACATTTTATTTGAGAGTAATGGATGATATATTAAGAGGTTGATCGGTTGGACTACCTTTAAGGTAGCTGGTCGGATCAGTGATCTCAAGATCCAACCTCGTAGATAATGAGCTCATATATGGATTAATTGGCTCGAGAGACTGGCCGGAGACGAATAATTATTTGAAACCTTCTTCGTTTGTTTTAATAATTATTTTTTTTAAAAAAATAATTTAATTAAGTTGACCTGTTGGAAACCTGCAAATTAGAAGAATTTTATGAAATTGGTTAGTTTAGAGGTCTAATTGTAGGTTGGTTAGTTTAAGGACTCAATTGTAGGTTTAATATGACTATATCTGTTAAATTAATATGAGTATATCCATTGTAGTCTCATGACGACATTAAAAAATTAAACAAAATCGTTTTTTCAGTAATATTTTACAAACTGTAATGAATATGAGTAGAACCAGAATCCCATGACATTAAAAAACAAAATCATTTTTGCAGTAATATTTTAATTACAAACTCTACTGAATAATGAAATCCTGTTTCATAATGAATGTCGTCTTAAAGAAAATACCAACAAGCTCCTTTAATTTACAAGAAGCGTAATTAAGGACGAGAATTCGGCGGAGCGGCGGCAGCGGGATCAGATATCTTACGACGGCAAAGAGGGCAGGAAGGGCTTATCTCCACCCAAGATGAGAGGCAGTCGTCGTGAAAGGAGTGATGGCTGCACGGCATCACAGCCGCATCTGTCCCCGCCGTTAACTCCTCCAAGCAAATAACGCAACTATTACCGCCGCACTCTATTCTCTTCCTCTTTAACGACTTCACTTCGAAACCGCCATCGGAGGCGGCGGCGGCGGCGGCGCCATTTACTCCCTCCACTGCCTCTCCCAAATCTCGATCATCCTCGTACGTTTCTTGATCGTCGAAACCTGGCATATGAACCGTCCGTATGTCAACCCGAATAGTACACTTATACTCCCTTGCTTTATCGATCACTTCGTCGATGATTTCAAGGACCATGCCGGCGTTAATAGGCCAGTCACACAGCCCTTCGCAAAAGATGAAATCCCGGCAGTCGCCCTGCAACCGGTTCGACCCCTCCGCCAGCAAGTCGTGGCTCAGGCATATGGTTCGTGATTCTTCCCCGTATCCAACAGTATCGTCAAAGGCGTCAGCTGTGCGGTGAGAGAAGCGGACATGGACGTGAGGCCCAGACGGCGCAGAAGAGGCGGCGCAATCTTCTTCGACTGTGGGATACGGCCGCACAGAATAGAATGTGTAATAGTCGGAATAGTCGTCGTCAAAACCACTCTCCTCCATTAATCCTTTCTTCCTATTTCTCTTCCTCTTCCTCTTCCTCTTCTTCTTCTTTTTCTTCACTTCTGCGCAGCTTTAATAAATAGCGGAGGATTTGGAAACGTTGTTTGCTAATCCTTATTTGACTGGAACTTGAGTTGTCCAGCTATTTACTTTTATATACGAAAACTTACTTGAACTCCAAGTTACTAGAAAATTTAGCAAATTATTTTTTTTTTTTTGAATGCAAATTTAGCAAATTATTAATTGATCTTATATTTTGTATTTTTACGTGGTTAATTAGGGATGCTAATCTTATCATAAAATCTATGAACTGTTAAATTGAAAATTTTTAGGGTTTGGACTTTGGACCAAAATATTTTAATTATATAAAAAATTAATTTAATTTGATAAGTCTAATAATCTGAGCCACTTAAAAAGATTAATTTTTGTTAAAGAAGTGATGTGCAACAAAATATACATAAAATTTATTTGGGAATAAGGGTCAAATAAGCCATTCAACTGCCCACCATAATGCAATTAGGCCACCGAACTTTAAAAAAAAACTACAATTGAATTTCTAAACTATCCTATTTCATGCAATTCGTCCAAGGTTTTCCAAATTTTTATCAGGTCATCCAAATTTAAAATAATTTTTAAAAATTAATAAATTAATGAATAAAAATGAAAAAAAAAAAAAAAAAAACTTTGTCTCCGCTTGAGACGATGATGCAGTACCTTCAGGAATTTTTATCCACATTAATTAGCCGTCGGAAAACTTATGCTATAGTCCGACAGATCATCGGATCTACTGCATGCTCCGATCCATATCTAAAATGTACATCTTTTATTTTCAATCAAATCCATTTCTTTCTCCTTCTTTTGGGGCCAAGAAATCTATTACAGATTAAGAAGATGAGTGGAGATCGAGGAGCGACCACCAAAAGCAGCACTGTTGATGTTTTACCCCATTTTTTAATCTTTAACAAAGATCTACAGTTGAATTCGATTAATATTTCTTTTTAAAAATTTATGTTGGTTTCTCTTCACAGAAAAAGAAAAAAAAAAATCATGTTGGTTTTGTTACAGATGGTCTGGTGTTGATATTTGGTGTTTAAGGATTCATGAATTTTGGTGTTTAAAAACTCTTGAAGTTTTCTTCATAAAAAAAAAAAAAAAAATCTTGAAGGTACTGCATCTTCGTCTCCAGTGATGAGACAATAAATTTTCGATCTCTTTTTCATAAAAAAAAACAAAATCGTTTTTGCAGTAATATAATATTTTACAAACTCTAACAGCATTGGATGAAATTACGATTTCAACAAAAAACAAAATCATTTTTGCACTAGTATTTTACAAACTCTAATGAATAATGGAATCCTGTTTCACAATACATATCTTCAAGAAAATACCAAACCGTAATTAAGAAGTAGAATCCGCGGCGGCAGCAGGCATCTTGCGACGGCAGAGAGGGCAGGAAGGGCTTCTCTCCAGCCAAGATGAGAGGCAGTCGTGGTGAAAGGAGCAATGGCTGCACGGCATAACACCCACCACATCTATCCCCGCCGTTAACACCTCCAAGCAAATAACGCAACAACCACCATCCCTCTCATCGTACGCCATTCTCTTCCTCTTTAGTGACTTGATGATCACGAAACCGCCATCTGAGGCGGCGGCGCCGCCATTTACTCCCCGCGCCGCCGCTCCAAAATCTCGATCATCCTCGTACGTTTCTTGAACGTCGTCGGAACCTCGTATCTGAACCGACTGTATCTCAACCCGAAGATCACACTTAAACTGCAACACTTTCTCGTTCACCTCGTCGGCGATATCAAGGACGGTGCCGGCGTCAATAGGCCAGTAACACAGCCCTTCGGAGAAGATGAAGCTCCGACAGTCGTCTCCCGATTCCTCCGCCAGATCGTCGTCGCTCAGGCAGATGGTTCGTAATTCTTCCTCGTATTCTCCATCGTCACTGTCGTCAACTGTCTGGTGAGAGAAGCGGACATGGAAGTGAGGCGGAGAAGAGGCGGCACAGGCGAACGGAGCATTATCTACTCCGACTGTGGGATACGGCCGCACAGAATAGGTCGTGAAATAGTCGGAATAGTCGTCAATACCACTCTCTTCCATTAATCCTTTCTTCTTCTTCTTCTCTTCTACTCTTCTGCACTCTTCTGCGCAGCTTAAATTGCGGAGACGTTGTTTCCTAAATCCTTATTTGAGTGGAACTTGAGTTGTCCATCTTTTATATACGGAAACTTTCTTGAACCTAAAGTTACCAAAAATCTTTGGGTTAAAATATTTTATAAAAGATTAGCTTGATGATCATAGTGGCCCTAACCCAAATAGAATACCTTTAATTTATATGCAACAAAATATATATTAAATTTATATGTAAGCTTATTTTTAATATTTTTTTTAAAAAATTAAATAAATTTTAAATAATATATAAATAAATTTATTATATTACAAATAAAATATTTTTATGAAAATAAATAATGAAAATTTAAAAACTTAATTACTATAAATATTATATTATATTATATTATAGTGCAAGTATATTAATTATTTTTAGTTAAAATTTCGCTATGTAAATTGAGGTTTAGGTTGATTATATGATGTATAAGTTTATATTTATTATTGTAAATGTAAATGTGTTAGTTTATTAAAATTTAAATTTTAGAATATATATTAATTTGAAAATGTCAATAGTTTTAATTAAACTTGACTGCACAACAGCTCGAAGGTTTTATGGTTAGGGCCAAAAATCATCATCCCGATAAAATAAAAAATGAATAAGGTTCAAATTAACCACTGAACGTAATATGAAAATGCAATTAGGCCACTGAACGAAAAAAAAAAAGTGCAATTAGGCCATTGAACACTCAAAAAATGTGCAATTAGGCCACTGAACTCTCCAAACGTATGCAATTTTACCGGATAGCAGGTTACCATCAATTTTAGCAGGTTACCTGCTTACGTGGCAGCTTAGTTGACATTTTTAATAATTTTTAAATAATTTTTAATAATTAATTTTAATAATACATTTTATAAAAAATTGGAAAAAATTAAATAAAAAATAAAATAAAGTCGTTTTTATTTTTTTAAAAATTTTTTTAATAAAAAGTTATTATTAAAATTTATTAAAAATTAATTAAAATTTATTAAAAATGCCAACTCAGCTGCCACGTAAGCAGATAACCTGCTAAAATTGAGGGTAACCTGCTATCAGGTGAAATTGCACATTTTTGGAGTGTTCAGTGGCCTAATTGCACTTTTTTTTCGTTCAGTGGCCTAATTGCATTTTCAGGTTACGTTCAGTGGCCAATTTGAACCTTATTCCAATAAAAAAAAAAGGCATAGCTTCAAACTGGTTGGCACTTGGCATGATTGACATTCGTATGGTTAATGTATTAGCCCGAGCGACTCAGCTCGTTCTCAAACTGGTTCTCTTACTTGATTGTTTTTAGTTCCTAATTGTATTCAACACTTGTTTTAATGAAGTTATTTTTTTCCTTTAAAAAAAAAAACCTTTTTACAAAAAAATAAATAAATTAGTTCTATTATTAATTTATTCTCTGTATATAATATATGTATGTATAGGGACGAATTGAGGCGAGCTAAACTTGAATAAACAAAATTCAAAAATCAACTCAATTAAAAGAATTTAAAGTTCAAGCTAAATCAAATTTTAATTTTTTGACCTTGAGAGCTCTACTGGAGTACTCCAACATAGATTATTAAAATAAATAAAAAATCAAAATATACATATCCCTTATGCCTTACACACATCTCCCAATCTAATAAGAAATAAACAATAAAGTTCGGCTACTAACAGAAATTAAAAAATGTTGGTATAATTGTTGATTGAAATGAATGATTCATATTATTTTGAAATAATGAATATTACAAGTGATTTTAATAGCGTAGAGTAGCATTTTTCTTCACCTTTTCTGTCTAAAGGAAAATACTCCTTTCTTTTCAAAAGTTAATAATTCTATTCAATTTATTGAAAATAGTTAAAAATACCTATTTTCCTTTGACTAAGACTATCATTTTTCATTGACCTCATTTTCTTCCCTCTTGCCAAACACTAGAAATTCGGAAAACATTTTCCAGAAGTCATTTTCCGAGTTTCCAAACGCACCCTTATCAAATACTAAACAATCTAATTATATAGTATAGCTTCAAGAGTGAAAATTGTGAGAAAAATTTTAAGAACCCAAGATGTATAACATTACTCAAAAATAAATTAACATGAAAAATAACTCTCATTTCTTACTCATAGCACCTTCTCCTTCTATGCAGACACTTTTCGATTCTTAAAACTCACATGGTAAAAATATCATATCTTTGTTTGTCCGAGATAAAAATGAGAAAAATAGAATTTGAAAGTAGTGTTTGAACAAATATGACTGGATCGGACTGAATTAACATCATTTTGTAAAATATAAGAAACAACAAGCCTGATGGAGAAAGCATTGATATATAACTGCAAATCTGCAGTAAAGAACACTACTGAACGGAGCGTATGTCAACCTGGAGATCACACCTAAGCCGCCGCGCTTTCTCGACCACTTCGGCATCAATAGGCCAGTCGCGCAGAGTCCTCCCCCGACTTCTCCGACAGAACGCGAAAGAGGCGTTAGTTGTTCCTAAACTAGCTATAAGTTTAATTTCCAAGTTTCTTGGCCCTCAAATCAACGGAAATCTTAATTTTATGTAGTCAATTTCATTAATCACTTTGTTTTTTAAAAATATTTTATGTCTATACTAAATTTATTTAATAAAATGATAGAATCTATGCAACAAGTCAAGCTAAATATCTTATAACTTTCCAAACTCTAATAAATAGAAATGCGTAGTTAATAATATGACATGGATATGCTAAATCAGTAATAAATTTGAGAGGTAATGATTAATGAAAACCCTTTACTCAATACTTGATATATAATTGTATAAATATATTAATTAAATGGGTTTCAAAATATATAGGTTTAATTTGGATACCTTACCTGTAGTGACAATTGAATTTGGAATGAGTAAAAGTAGTAATATTCATTTAATACGGAAATAAGTAAATAGGCAAGTATTACATACATACATACACGTGTGTAGTAGTAGTCGGACGACGAGTCAACACTTCTATAAAGTGTTAAGTAAATTTGAGAGAATAATTGCATATGTATTGAATTCAAGACCCTTTAAAACATGACTTCCAGAGATATTTATACAAGATATTTGGACCTTGCAAAAGGAAAGGAGAAAAAATTAACAAAATTGGAATTAGGAAAGTTTCTATATTGTTGTGCATATTTTCTAATATTGAAAAATAATAATCTTTTATTGATTTTCATATCATAAAATTCTTTTTTCTCAAATTGTTGTTGCAAACAACAGCATGTGGTTAACAAAAGGATTTTTTTTTTTTCTTTTTATTACAAACATAAACATAAAAAAATAATATCAAAATTTCCGTTGATTTGAGGGCCAAGAATTTCGCGTTCTAGGGTTTAGAGTTAGTACTCATCCGATCCGCCTATAAATCTTACGGAAATTTCGGAGCGGCTATCGACTTCAGACAAAGAGAAAGTTCATAGCCGCTATCAATAGGCTATAGGCGACTATCTCACAAGATTCTCCGTGCGGCGGAGGAGATAATGCTCCGTTTCCTTGCGCCGCCGCCGCCGCCTCTTCTGAACCGTCTAGGCCTCACGTCCATGTCCGCTTCACTCACCACATTGTGGATGGTTGGATTGACGACAGCGACGACGAGATAGAGTCACGAACCATATGCCTGAGCAACGACTTACTGGAGGAGAATTCGGGATACGACTCTCATAGTTTCATCTTCTTCCAAGGGCTGTGCAACTGGCCTATTGACACCCAAACCGTCCTCGAAATCGCCGACGAAGTGGTCGAGAAAGCGCGGCGGCTTAGGTGTGATCTTCAGGTTGACATACGCTCCATAGAGGATATTGGTTTTGACGACGACTATTTCAGTGCGGCCGTATCCCACAGTCGGAGAAGATTGCGCCGCCTCTTCTGCGCCGTCTCTGCCTCACGTCCATGTCCGCTTCTCTCATCGCACAGCTGACGCCTTTGACGATAATGTTGGATACGGGGAAGAATCACGAATCATATGCCTGAGCGACGACTTGCTGACGGAGGGGTCGAACCGGTTGCAGCGCGACTGCCGGAATTTCATCTTCTCCGAAGGGCTGTGTTACTGGCCTATTGACTGCGGCACCGTCCTTGACATCGCCGACGAGGTGATCGAGAAAGTGTTGCAGTTTAAGTGTGATCTTCGGGTTGAGATACAGTCGGTTCAGATACGAGGTTCCGACGACGTTCAAGAAACGTACGAGGAGGATCGAGATTTTGGAGCGGCGGCGTGGGAAGTAAATGGCGGCGCCGCCGCCTCAGATGGCGGTTTCGTGATCATCAAGTCTCTAAAGAGGAAGAGAATGGCGTACGATGAGAGGGATGGTGGTTGTTGCGGTATTTGCTTAGAGGAGTTAACGGCAGGGACAGATGTGGCTGTGATGCCGTGTAGCCACTGCTCCTTTCACGACGACTGCCTCTCATCTTGGCTGGAGAGAAGCCCTTCCTGCCCTCTCTGCCGTAGCAAGATCTCTCCTGCCGCCGCCTCCTCTCCCACGGATTCTCGTTCTTAATTACGGTTTGGTATTTTCTTGAAGATATGTATTGTGAAACAGGATTCTATTATTCATTAGAGTTTGTAAAATACTAATGCAAAAGTGATTTTGTTTTTTGTTGAAATCGTAATTTCATCCAATGCTGTTAGAGTTTGTCAAATATTTGTTATATTACTGCAAAAACGATTTTGTTTTTTATGAAAAAGAGATGGAAAATTTATTTATGGACAGCGTTTATAATGTTGCTCTCATCACCAGATTTCACTTGATTATGATAATTTAATTTATAATTTTTTAAACATAATTCAAATCCGAAAAAAATTAGGATAAAAGTCGGTGGCCTTCTACAGAATTACATGTATATATACCTTAGCCTTGTCGATCTGCTACAGAATTAATTCATCTATTTGTATAGGCAATTACATATATACTTGATAAGTTACTAGGAATAAGAAAACCCTAAAGAAGAAA